GTTATTGAGTATTAGAATCGTGCGATTGAGTATCATGATTTGTGGTCTCGTGTCTATAATCAATTTCTATGTGAATCTAATGTAATATGAAACTTTTGAAATATGCATTGATATAACTTTTTAAAATGAGCATAACAGAGGTACTAAATGGACATACATAACTTAAAAATGAGTTTTCAAAAATCCAATAGCTCATTTGTGTACGTTCGTTCTATTTAGTCGTTTTACTCATTTGAGTTTAAAATAAAATATAGATTTTATAATATTTTATATTATACATTTTCATAATAATAGAATATAACATATTTTCATAATAATGGAATATAACATTAAAGTAGAAGATTACTAAAAAACAAAAACAAAAAAGATAGGAGAACAAACAATAAAAAACAATAAAAGAAAGGAGAAAAAAAATTAAAAAAAAAGCACAAACATTAAAGTAGCTAGAAAGGATAAAGGAGAATAAAAAGGATCAGCCCCACTCACGTTCAGGAAGGGGAGCGCAGGGAGAAATGGAGCATGCATGCGACGGAAAAAAATGGAAGAGCAGCTCAACTCAGTCTATTAACTATCCTTAAACTTGCTATTAATTACAAAAAAAAACCGGATGTACATGTACACCCGGTTGTAGGATATAAATTGCCCAATTTATAAACTAATAAAAGATGTAACGGATAAAATGACTAATAAGTAAACTGAAAATCCTTCAAATAAATTAAAGCAATTACTCAATTAGTAAAGTAAATAAAAGACCTTCCATTCAAAAAAAAAGTTAGTAAAAGACCCAAGACTCAAAAAAGGCAAGCCGTATGCCATTTTCCCAGCTTCGACCTTCGACCTTCCGCCTTCATACTCGTCCACCAGGGAGCGGATTTTTCAGATTATGAATTACGGAGTAAATGAGTAATATGTAATTAAACATTTATAGTTAAAGCTGAAATTCATACATAATACTATTAGGCTTATTTCTAAAATTAGAGGCCCCTACAATTTTGGAGGCCCTAGACATTTGTCTAGGCTTCCTGACCCTAAAACTGGCTTTGGGATTAAGAGTTCAAAATACTAAAAGTGGAATGGGATGAAGGGAAAAAAAATGAGTAATGGGATGGAGGGTTCTACATTTGAAGGGTGGACATTTGAAGGGTGGAGTTGACTCCCTAAAATAAAATGGAAAAGAAAAAGTAAAAGGGGTGGGGTCGGACATGCTGGTTACGCAGAGGGAAAGATGCCATCGTAGGGTAATTTGCGCAGGATTTAGGTTCTGTTTGGTAACGGCTGCAATGGTTGAAACTGCTGAACTGGCTGAAATGACTGAAATTGCTAAAGTGAAAGTGTTTGATAATATCTTGGCTGAAGCGCCTGATTGGATGTAATTTTACTAAAAAGGGTATTTGTTTCTTTATATTTGAAATACATGTATGTTAGTTTTGCTAAGAAAATCTGTTTACTAATATGAGTAAGTTAATGTAAAAAATTACAGTGTTTATTATTTATATTAAAAAGCTCACATGTAAAATAAATAAATAAAATACATTACATAAAGTAAACATAATCGTTAATTGGAATGTGCTGTAATTTAACTAAGCAAAAGTTTCATAAAACATGCAAACAAATTGTAATCGAGCAAAAAGATCTTAAGCAGAAGACGACTTAGATGCGAAGTGATATTTGGGAAGAACAAGAAGACAGATGCGAACAAAGAAGAGAATTAGGGGTCATGCTAAGTATTAAAATGTATTTCAAGCCAAAAATAGATTTTCAGCCAAAAAAGAGCATTGGGTTACTTTTTGAGCTTTTAAGAATTATCAGCCAAATCAGCCCAAAACAAGGGTGTTTGGTGATTTTCTCCTACATTAAGGCTTATCAGTCCAAAAATTGGACTCCAAACGGCCACTTAATTCAAGTGCACGACGTCATGATGACGTCATGCTGGTGCCATGGAGCAATAACAATGGCATATGGCTTGTTTTTATTTAAAAAAATTGGTAGATCCAACGGCTGTGATGATTTTGACACCGTTTGAACAAAAAAAGATTGATCCAACGGCGGAAGTTGAAATTCAATGGTTAAAATAATTTATTTATTTTTCCATCATCTTTAATTAATATTTTGTCCAAAAATCCTATACAAACACCCCATTTTTTCTTCCTATTTTAATCACACATCTCTCATCTATCTCATTCTTCATCATATTTTCTTTACTATCTAAATTTTTGTGATGTCTTCATCAAGAAGAGGTGCTAATTGGAGTGTTAGTGATGATGTTGCTCTATGCAACGCTTGGATATCCATATCCGAAAAAGATAGACGTAATTTACACTAACCCAAATATTTTATTAAGGCACATAAAAGTTCCAGAAATACATAAAGATTTTAGGAAAAAACATAAGTAGTACAAATACAAAGTTAACACTAGTAAATGAAATACATGAAACACAATTGGATTAATAAAACGCATAAATATTTAAGGGAAACATATAAACTACATTTCATTTCCATGTTGCCTCCACAGATGGTTTATGAGATCACTTTTAAGCGGTGTGTGCACCGAGGAGTCTCGAATTCGATTGTGGCGCATCATATACCGACTCTAGGTCGGGCCATCATGGCTAAGATCCAATTCAACGATGCCACCAATATAGTCATAGTCTTCACGGTAGTCTTGTGGGGTTGGTTCTTCATCCTTATCTTCATATTCATCTTCCACTATCATGTTGTGCATTATAATGCATGCCAGCATTATCTCACCTAATGTGTGTATGTCGTGCAAGCGTGCCGGACCTCGCACAATAGCCCACCTAGCTTGTAAAATTCAAAATGCTCTTTCAACATCCTTACGAAAAGCCTCTTGCATTGAAGCAAAAAGTTTTTTTTAAGGAGCGTCCGGATGACTTATTGTCTTAACAAATTAAAAGTTGCCCAACTTGGGTAAATCCCATCAGCTTAATAATAACATTGATTATATAGCTTACCATCCACGCAAAATTGTACCTGAGGGGCAGATCCATTTACAACAGCATCAAAGACTGTAGAGCTTGCAAGGGTGTTGAGGTCATTGTTGAAATCGGTTGTGCTAAAAAATGCATGACACATATGAGTATCATAAGAAGCAACTGGTTCGAGCACAATTGTTGATTTTCTTTTGTACTCGGTGTACTGATCGGCCCAAGATGTAGGACAGTTTTTCCACTCCCAATGCATGCAATCAATGGACATAGTCATCCCAGGATAGTGTCTTTTTGAGGCCTCTTCCAGAAGATGGTGCAGATCCCTAGGATTAGGGGTTCGTAGGTACCAAGAACCATACACACTAATAACTGCCCTACAAAATTTCTTCATGCACAAAAGTGTGATCGTCTCACTCAAACGACATAAGTGATTTAATGAATCAGCCGAGCAACCATCGGTGAGCATATGCATAAATATCGCACTAGTGAGTTTTTGATGAGAAAGAGATACCTTGTTTGCTGCATCTACTATGCTTAGAAAATAGGGATCGAAAGCCATGCCATCTTTCATGATTCGATCAAATAGAGCCGGTTGCATGCGATAACGACGTCGGAAGATACATGCATTGTAGGTGGGATTTGGATTAATCCAGTAATCATCCATCAACAAACGGTGTCCAGCTTCCCGACCACGGTCTATGTACTCACGACAATTGGAGCTTGTTGCAACCATAAAAGCCATCAAAGCCATGCGGTCGGAATAAGCTTCGTCATCTTCTTCTTCATCTTCATTAATGGATTTGTAAAATGCGGGAAAAGAACTCATGATGGTTTTAGCCTTGTGGTAGAATACTTGAAAATGGGAGAAGTAAAGATGATGTGTGTGATTCCAATGTCAAGTGAGGCCATGTATTTATAGTAATATATCTTTGATGTTCACACCAAGTGGATGATACATCCAAATTATTATGTTTGGATACACCAAGTGGAGAATAACATCCAATGTGCTATGAAAGAACACACATGGTGAAAAAGAGAATCCAATGTGATATAATGTGCTATGAAAGGACACAAATAATGGAAAAGAGAATCCTATGTGATTTGAAAATATACAACAAGTTGAGAACGGAATCCAATGTGTTATGTGTGACACCGCTCCCGAACGTCCTTGAAAATTCGATTTAAAATTCAAAGTTTAGGTATTGGATTTCTGATTCCCAAACATTTTGTAAAACAATTAATGATTTACGTAATTAATGATCGATTAGTGTACTGTTCGAACTCGTGTATTAGTGTCGGGCATGCAAATACTATTTGGGTCTTATTAATAAATAAAAGAGCCCAACATTATCCAAATAGTGATACATAATCTTTCAAGACAATCCGAGTAAGGTCGGACGGCCCAAACGTTATTTTGAGCCCAACCCGCTAAAATAGCAAGTATTCGGGAATGGCATTCTAGACCCACTCGGGAGTGACCCACACGGTTAGTAGCCCATTAATATGTATGACAAATGTCAAATAAGTGATAGAATGGTTAAAGAAGAATACAAATGCCTATAGTCCCATCTTTAACATTATTGAGCTAAATAATGGGAGTAGGATTTTTCTTCTATAATATCCATTAAGTAAATTATTGTGATAAACCTACACATATTGGAAATCAATAATGTGATGAAGGAAGTTGACTTGTCCTAAATGAATTAGGATGAGTACAAAAAGACATCTTTGACAAAAGATAAAACAATAGGACCCATTTTCCCATTTTTGGAAGTATTGGTAGATAATTTGGATCCCAAAATGATTGGGATCAATTGGGAACCATTCCACATGGACTTAGTACCTGCAAAACAAGTGAGAAGAGTTGAGAAGAACATATGGGGCGGACTCTTGGCTCACATTCACAAAAACTCCAAGAGAAAACAAAAAGGGGAGGTCCACCCCATATTTGATTGCAAACCAAATATCTCCCATGTTCTTTTGTGAGCCACATACTCTTTTAGCATGTTTAGGGGCTCCTAATACACCCCCCATACACCCCATTCGAACCCCCAAAGAGATAAGAGAGCAAGGGAATCCACACAACCCAAGAGAGAAGGAAGGAGGAGAGCAGTCCGCAGGTTCGTTCTTCAGTGCGTAGCTTTGATTGTTTGAGCCATAACTTGAGATTTACTCATCCAAATAAGGCGTGCGAGATACCAACAGAAAGCTCTCAAGACGAGGAATCCGTGAAGGTCTGGTTTGCATAAATCGGAGTAGTGAAAGGCTTCCAAATCGACCGAGCAAAACACGACCTCGCAGAATACGTTTTTGTATTCAAAGTAAGTTTGAATCCAAAACCTTCCTCTCTATTGTCTAAATCATATAAATGATTGAAGAACTATTATACACTGATTGAAGTGTATGAAATGTTATTATTATGTGACTTTAATTGTTGGAAAGGTTAGATACTAACCTAGACAAAACCTTGAAAGGTTAGGGAACGAATTCGTCGGGAAACACCCGTTCTAGGGACTGTTTTTGCATTTTCGGTTAGGAGTTGAACTAGCACCTTGAGGGGGCTGTTTAACACTCAATTCTAAGCAAGGAATCAGTTCTCAAGCTTCCTTGGCCGAGGCTTTAGTCATTGGATCGAGAAGGAAAGTTTTAAAGCTCATTTGAGGTGAGGACCGACATCTAGTTGCTTACAACTTGTAGGTTATGCATGAGATTACCTAAATGCTTGAATCATGTTTTTGTGAATAAATATGCTTGAACATGATATGAATGATAAGTAATGGACTTGACCATGAATTGAAACCATATTGATGAATATGGAGTCATGTGAGATAAAAGTATGCTAATATGGTAAATTGACCTTCCAACTCATGTATGAATGTTATGTGTATGTAAATGTATAATTTCATGATGATGCTTAGCACATGGGAGGCTGCCACATATCTATTGATATGGAGGGGCTACCATTTATGATAAATGAGTTGTAGGAATAATCTTAATAGTATTGTGATGCTAGTTAAGGATTGTTCAAAATGTTGATAGAATCAAACTTAAGGTTTGAGTTGTTTGTGATGAACTTGAATAAGATTCAAGTGTCAAGTGTGATTGTATGAAGTAGGAGATCTATGGTGTGATTATATGAAGTAGGAGATCTATGGTGTGATTATATGAAGTAGGAGATCTATGGTGGGATTGTATGAAGTAGGAGATCTATGGGGTGAATAAATGAAGTAGGAGATCTATGGTATGATTATATGAAGTAGGAGATCTATGATGCGAGTGCATGATGATGTACTCGAGCCTAACTCTAGAAATGAGAAGTTATATTAGGGTTGGACCCTATGTATTGTCGTGACTATTAGTCACGGGGTTTGGGAAATGTTTTATAACAAACGCGGGCCTTTGAGCCGACTACTTGACTTTATATAAAGTAAGTATGTATTTTGAAAGGGGTAATCTGGGGTTACGGCCTATACTATATTATCACCCTATTTGAGGGTCTTGTGTGTGAAATACTTGTTGTATATCTATTAGATGCCTGCCACACCAGCACTTTATAGCCCTATAGAGTGCTGACCCCTTCGGGGGCGTCCCACTACCATTTTTCAGGTTGAGGCTAGAGCTTGCTTCCTGTGCTCGTTGCTCGAGAGATCATATAGGAGGGAAGACTTGGTTCGTGCTTCCTCCATTCTGTTTTTAAACCTTTCTAAACATGCTCATGGATATTTTACTATGGAGCCTGCGTGCTCATGAAATGCCTTGTGTGGCCCTTTTGTTTTAAACAATGTTTCCGCTGCGTTATGAATTACTTATTATGTTTGTTTATGGATGTATATGTGTGAATGATATTCAAGACGCCTTGTATAATATGAATGTGTTGGACTGCGGTTGACTATTCGTATTGTACGGCGGGTTGTTGACGTGTCCGGATAGGTCCGGGGCGTGACAATTAAGTTGGTATCAGAGCCTTAGTCCATAAACTTCATAATGAAGTCTCAAAATTCTCTTTTCAAAATGTTTTTTTTTTGAAAACCATGAGCAAAAACGTTTTGTACTTAAGAACTTTTGGTGTTTGAGTTGCAAGGTCTCTAATTGTTAAGATGGCGCCCTTAACGATTGGTATGGCGGCAACTTGGCCCAAGAGATGTCTTAAGTACCTATCTGTCAGTTGACATTTGAAACGAGTCTAATGACTCATTCCAATTATTTCTTTCAGCGATGGAGGGTGATGGTGGTACTATGAATAGGGAGAACTCGGAAGGGTTTGCACCGGGTGGAACCGGGCATGCCAACCGAGAAAAGCCCGTAGGAATAAAGGTTCACGAAATTCTAGAAGCTCAAATCGTGAGTGGCGGTCATGTTAGGACCAATGAAGAATCACCTTGTCATAGAAAAATTGAAACACTCAAGGCTTCGGGTGACGAGGGATATGATTTGAGTGATGAGAACCTTGATGGTGCACCCATTGAACAAATGGGCATGGTCATAGATTGGCTTCAACGTGAACGTGTGAGGCTTATACAAAAACGCCAAGCTAGGCAAGATGAGGGCATACCGTTAGTGAGGAAAAGGAGGTGGGGAGACAACGATTCCCAAAGACATTCAAGAAGGACAAACGTTGAGGGTGACAAAACCTTCAGGGCGCAGACACTATCACTTGAGTGGAGTCGGGGCTCGGGTGGCCAGAACTCGAGGTCAAAGGGTCCGAGGGTACCTAGGTGCAACAATTGCAAGAAACACCACTCGGGTAAGTGTCACGACCCTCCTAGGTGCTATCATTGCACAGAGGTCGGGCACACGAGAGTGAGCTGCCCACAAATTGTGCAAAACCAAACTTCGGGGTCAAGTGGTGGAACTACAAGAAATGAAAACCAAACCGAGGTTTCTCAAGGGAGCAGGGGACATGGGGGAGCAAGCACGAGCAACGCGCCATCCGTGAACCAAGGAAGGACCCAAGCTAGGGTCTACGCGATGACAGAGGCGGATGCTCAAGCTAACCCGGATTCCGTTGCAGGTATTGCCTCTCGTATACTAGTGTTTTATCCTTAATTAGTCCATAAATTAAGGTTACTAATCGTTGGGATCATTGCACGAAATTTTGGGATCAAACGGAGCGAAATCGGGCGAAAGACGGCTGATTTCCGCCAACGCACACCAGGCTGGACCATACGCACGGCCGTGCGTTGTCCGTGCGTTGGTCCGTGCGTTGGTGGCAGTAGCAACCGGGAAGAAATTGCTATACGCACGGCCGTGCGTTGTCCGTGCGTTGGTCCGTGCGTTGGTGGCAGTAGCAACCGGGAAGAAATTGCTATACGCACGGACGTGCGTTGTCCGTGCGTTGGTCCGTGCGTTGGTGGCAGTAGCTCCGTTTTGAGGTTATAAGACACGCATGCCGTGCGTACCTCCTAGGCACGCCGTGCGTACCTCCTGGACAGCCCAAAGTCGACTTTTTTGCGCCGTATTGCAACGTTAAGACCCGTTCTTGATCCCAAACATGTGTGTGAACATAATAAACCTCTCTAAATGAGTAGGGAGGGTAGGAAAGATGTCTTACATGGTTCATGAATGTAGGGACACTAAAGATTAATGGGAAGGATGCGCGAATCCTTATCGATACCGGGGCGCAACGTTCATTCGTGAATGAAGCGTTCGCCAAGAGTTTGGAAGTGCAATCCGCACCATTGATGCAAACCTTAGTGGTATCAACACCACTAGGGGATGACGTGGAAAGAACTCGTTACTATCCATCTTGTGGGGTGGAAGTTAATGGTCAAACCTTGACGTGTGACTTCGTACCGCTGAGCATGATTGAATTCGATGCAATCCTAGGGATGGATTGGCTAGAAAGGAACCATGCTAGGGTAGATTGCTACACGAAGGTTCTTAAACTCGAAGGAAATGATGGGGAGACCCTACGCTTCGAGGGCGATCGAGGGAGATCAAATAGTTGTATCATATCCGCCGTGAGAGCGAGAAGTATGATGAGAAAGGGATGCCACGCATATCGAGCATACGTGGTTGACAAAACCAAAGAGGAAACGAACATCGATGATGTGAGGGTGGTTTGTAAGTATCCGGATGTCTTCCCTAAAGACCTACCGGGGCTTCCACCTGATAGGGAGATTGAATTTGTGATCGAGGTCGAGCCTGGTACCAAACCAATCTCCATACCGCCATACCGTATGGCACCCGCTGAACTTAACGAGTTGAAAACCCAATTGTAAGAGCTTTTGGATAACGGTTTCATTAGACCAAGCCACTCCCCGTGGGGAGCACCAGTTCTTTTTGTGAAAAAGAAAGATGGGACACTTCGAATGTGTATTGACTATCGTCAACTGAACAAGGTCACAATCAAGAATAGGTATCCTTTGCCTAGAATTGATGACTTATTTGACCAACTACGAGGGGCAACCGTGTTTTCGAAGATTGACTTGAGGTCGGGGTACCATCAATTGAAGATTAAGGAAGATGACATACCAAAGAGTGCTTTCCGCACAAGGTATGGGCATTTTGAATTCCTTGTTATGTCGTTTGGGCTAACAAACGCCCCAGCGGCATTCATGGACTTGATGAACCGAGTATTTCATAAATACTTGGACCGATTCGTGATTGTGTTCATAGATGACATCTTGATTTACTCAAAGAGTGAAGAAGAGCATGAAGAGCACTTGATACTTGTTCTTGAGACACTACGGGAGAAGCAACTTTATGCCAAATTTTCTAAATGTGAATTTTGGCTAAAGGAAATCGGCTTTCTCGGGCACGTGGTTTCGGGATTGGGAATTGCTGTTGATAACAAGAAGATAGAAGCCATTACTGAATGGGAGAGGCCAAAGAACGTCAAGGAAATTCGTAGTTTCCTTGGATTGGCAGGCTACTACAGAAAGTTCGTGGAGAAGTTCTCTGTTTTGGCATCGCCATTGACGAAGCTCACCCGTAAAGGAGCTAAGTTTGTATGGGATGACAAATGTGAGAAAGGGTTCATGGAACTAAAGAAGAGATTGACTGAGGCACCGGTACTTGCATTACCCAAACAAGGTGTGGGGTACGATGTCTATAGCGACGCGAGCATCCAAGGGCTTGGATGTGTGCTGATGCAGAATGGGAGGGTAATTGCCTATGCTTCACGACAATTGAAGAAGCATGAGGTGAATTATCCTACTCATGATTTGGAGCTGGGGGCAGTGGTGTTTGCACTAAAGATATGGAGACATTATCTCTACGGGGAGACATGTCACATATACACTGATCACAAGAGCTTGAAGTACGTGTTTACTCAGAAAGAGCTAAACATGAGACAGAGACGGTGGATGGAGCTGATAAAAGACTACCATCTAGTGATAGAGTACCACCCAGGCAAGGCAAACGTGGTGGCAGATGCTTTGAGCCGGAAGAGCTCGTCTGGGGCATTGCTAGCTAATTTGAGGGCATTAAGAGCCCAACTGGAGGTATCCAGCGATGGTGCCTTATTGGCACGATTTGAGGTGAAACCTACTTTACTTGATGAGATCAAGAAGGGTCAGGAAACCAACGAAGAAATTATGAAGATCCGGGAACGCATGCAAGCGGGACCGGTGGAGGACTTCAGAGAAAGAGATGACGGTCTGTTATTATTTCGTGACCGAGTGTGTGTACCGGCAGATGAGGAGCTCCGAAAGTCCATCTTAGAGGAGGCTCATTCATCGGCTTATGCCATGCACCCGGGGGGCACAAAAATGTACCGTGACTTGAAAGAAAGTTACTGGTGGTCTGGAATGAAGAGGGGAATAGCCGAGTACATCAGTCGGTGCCTTACTTGTCAACAAGTTAAGGCGGAACATCAGCACCCAGCAGGCTTATTGCAGCCACTTTCCATTCCTGAATGGAAGTGGGAGCACGTGACTATGGATTTCGTGGTAGGTTTACCACGGACAATCAGGAACTATGATGCAGTTTGGGTCGTTGTGGATAGGCTCACAAAGAGTGCACACTTCTTGCCTATCAACACTACCTACCCACTTGAGAGGTTAGCCAAATTGTATACGGATGAGATCGTGAGGCTGCATGGGGTCCCAGTGACCATTGTATCCGATAGAGACCCACGATTCACATCACGTTTTTGGCCGAAATTTCAGGAGTCTATGGGAACGAGGTTGAAGTTCAGTACTGCTTTCCACCCACAGACGGATGGACAGTCTGAAAGAGTCATACAGATCTTGGAAGACATGCTGAGGGCTTGTGCATTGGAGTTCCAAGGAAGTTGGGACAACCACTTAGCACTTGTGGAGTTTGCCTATAACAACAGTTATCAGGCAAGCATCGGCATGCCTCCATACGAGGCATTGTATGGGAGGAGGTGTCGTACACCGTTATGCTGGGACGAGGTTGGCATGGCCAAACTCGAGGGTACTGAGTTGGTTGAAGTCACCAAATCAAAGGTGAAATTGATTCGAGAGAGACTCAAGGCGGCTCAGGATAGGCAAAAGAGTTATGCAGATAAGCGTCGAAGAACCTTAGAGTTTAAGGTTGATGACGAGGTATTCTTGAAAGTTTCTCCTTGGAAAGGAATCATTCGATTTCAAACCCGAGGAAAGCTTAACCCACGATATATAGGCCCATTCAGAATTATAGAGAGGGTTGGGGCCGTAGCATATCGTCTACAGTTGACTCCTGAGTTGGAGAAGATTCACAATGTATTTCACGTGTCCATGCTTAAGAAGTATGTGCATGATCCTTCTCATGTGTTGGAGAAGCCGCCCGTAGAGGTACGTGAAGATTTGAACTATGACGTGCAACCGGTAAGAGTTATTGACAGAAAAGTGAAGAAACTGAGGAGTAAAGAAGTTCCAATGGTTAAAGTCCTTTGGAAGAGTGACCGGGTCGAAGAAGAGACTTGGGAAACAGAAACTTTGATGAGGAAGCAGTATGCATTCCTATTCGAGTAGAGATGTGAATTTCGGGGACGAAATTCCTGTTAAGGGGGGGTGAACTTGTGACACCGCTCCCGAACGTCCTTGAAAATTCGATTTAAAATTCAAAGTTTAGGTATTGGATTTCTGATTCCCAAACATTTTGTAAAACAATTAATGATTTACGTAATTAATGATCGATTAGTGTACTGTTCGAACTCGTGTATTAGTGTCGGGCATGCAAATACTATTTGGGTCTTATTAATAAATAAAAGAGCCCAACATTATCCAAATAGTGACACATAATCTTTCAAGACAATCCGAGTAAGGTCGGACGGCCCAAACGTTATTTTGAGCCCAACCCGCTAAAATAGCAAGTATTCGGGAATGGCATTCTAGACCCACTCGGGAGTGACCCACACGGTTAGTAGCCCATTAATATGTATGACAAATGTCAAATAAGTGATAGAATGGTTAAAGAAGAATACAAATGCCTATAGTCCCATCTTTAACATTATTGAGCTAAATAATGGGAGTAGGATTTTTCTTCTATAATATCCATTAAGTAAATTATTGTGATAAACCTACACATATTGGAAATCAATAATGTGATGAAGGAAGTTGACTTGTCCTAAATGAATTAGGATGAGTACAAAAAGACATCTTTGACAAAAGATAAAACAATAGGACCCATTTTCCCATTTTTGGAAGTATTGGTAGATAATTTGGATCCCAAAATGATTGGGATCAATTGGGAACCATTCCACATGGACTTAGTACCTGCAAAACAAGTGAGAAGAGTTGAGAAGAACATATGGGGCGGACTCTTGGCTCACATTCACAAAAACTCCAAGAGAAAACAAAAAGGGGAGGTCCACCCCATATTTGATTGCAAACCAAATATCTCCCATGTTCTTTTGTGAGCCACATACTCTTTTAGCATGTTTAGGGGCTCCTAATACACCCCCCATACACCCCATTCGAACCCCCAAAGAGATAAGAGAGCAAGGGAATCCACACAACCCAAGAGAGAAGGAAGGAGGAGAGCAGTCCGCAGGTTCGTTCTTCAGTGCGTAGCTTTGATTGTTTGAGCCATAACTTGAGATTTACTCATCCAAATAAGGCGTGCGAGATACCAACAGAAAGCTCTCAAGACGAGGAATCCGTGAAGGTCTGGTTTGCATAAATCGGAGTAGTGAAAGGCTTCCAAATCGACCGAGCAAAACACGACCTCGCAGAATACGTTTTTGTATTCAAAGTAAGTTTGAATCCAAAACCTTCCTCTCTATTGTCTAAATCATATAAATGATTGAAGAACTATTATACACTGATTGAAGTGTATGAAATGTTATTATTATGTGACTTTAATTGTTGGAAAGGTTAGATACTAACCTAGACAAAACCTTGAAAGGTTAGGGAACGAATTCGTCGGGAAACACCCGTTCTAGGGACTGTTTTTGCATTTTCGGTTAGGAGTTGAACTAGCACCTTGAGGGGGCTGTTTAACACTCAATTCTAAGCAAGGAATCAGTTCTCAAGCTTCCTTGGCCGAGGCTTTAGTCATTGGATCGAGAAGGAAAGTTTTAAAGCTCATTTGAGGTGAGGACCGACATCTAGTTGCTTACAACTTGTAGGTTATGCAAGAGATTACCTAAATGCTTGAATCATGTTTTTGTGAATAAATATGCTTGAACATGATATGAATGATAAGTAATGGACTTGACCATGAATTGAAACCATATTGATGAATATGGAGTCATGTGAGATAAAAGTATGCTAATATGGTAAATTGACCTTCCAACTCATGTATGAATGTTATGTGTATGTAAATGTATAATTTCATGATGATGCTTAGCACATGGGAGGCTGCCACATATCTATTGATATGGAGGGGCTACCATTTATGA